GTCCTTTGTTTGCCCGCTTACCAAGATTAATTTGAACAGAAATGCTAGCCTGTGAGAGATCTAAACCAGCACTCTGTAGCGCTTGAGTCAGGTTGTGTAACAGCCTGTTCATCAAATATGTCAAGTTTATCATTAGAGCTGAAAAACCAACCACATTAGCATAACAAATGCCGCATGCTTATTTCACTCAACATCAAAGGCCAGAAATTCAACAAAATTTTCAAAATCAAATCAAAAGAAAATATATATCAGAATCAAGAACTCAAGTTCATATCATTTACTTCAATCAACTGAGATACTCGGGATACCACACAACAATTGCTTGCAATTATCCATCAGTCTACACACACGATTGGTGCTTTATAAACATCAATTACACTTTAAACTTCAGCACAAGGAGGAAACCAGCTTGAAACCCATTTCTCCCAACACATGTTTTCTTGCATAACATAAAATTAAAATGTTGAACTGAACAAACCCAAGAGAGTATCCCACACACAAACATTCAACTTCTATTCAGATTTTAGCGACACAAAAACTAAGGGAAGAAATGCTGTATGGCTAATTCATAAACAGCAGCTAGTGGTCCTAGAGGTTTTACTGCATTCTTCAAAAAGCAAGGAACCATCACTAGGCCAATTATGCATTAAGACCCACTTGATAATTCTTCTCCTTGATCACATCAAGAATTTCACAACTCAAGAAAGATAAAAGGGGCATGAGATCACGATAATGAATCAATAAGTATCAAATTAAAAAGTAGCAGATCTCAAAACAGAAAATCAGCAGGCTTAGACTTGCAAAATATAACAAGGGAACCATGATTTATAATAATATTAATAATATGAAAAGGAATACCAAATATTTATGGCAACAGATAAAGGAAAATTATCATCTTTTAGCAACCACCCACCCTTGAGAGTATACACTTGAGATGTTGATTGTTCCTCCCTCAATTGTCAGCTCTTCCTGTTGGTTCTGAGGTTCACTATTGGCTGGACATTCAGCTGATTGCCCATCAGAAACAGGCCCCTGAAGAGGATGGGCTAGTGCACCATCGCTTCTGACAGGAACAGACATGTTTGCATGCATAGGCATTGGAAGAGGTACTGCCTTGCATTCTAACTCAGCTTGCCTCTCCACTGTTTTACTGATAATATCCCTGCTCTGTTCAGGGTCGATCGTATTTTGGGAGCCACTGAGCACAGTGGGAGAGACACTAATGTTGCTTTCATCAAACTTCCCGGGAAAGGTGACACAGGACCAGAACCATTCTTCACAGCTTGATGTTGGCCATAGCCTTGAACACGCCAGTGACTGTTTCTCTCTGTACCATTGAGGTATGTAAGCAAACTAAACCATTATAAATTTAATGGTTCAACCAGAAAAAAGAGCCCAACAATTAGAGAACTAAAAACCAGTCCGTAACTGATATAATAAAAAAAAATTCTGATAAACTCTGGATCTTGGACAAATATAACAAGACAAATTCGATTTTTTTATCCAAATTTCTTAACTTTTTTCTATCTACTCTTTGATTCATCTGCTCATGTGTCCATTCAGATATGTGTTGGTCAAGCGTCCCATCATGGTTTCTGTAGAACAACAACTATACAATTTAACTCTTTTACATAGAGTTAAAAAAAACAAGAGATGAACACAATGTGGTTTCCACAATTTATTTGGATAGTTGCATCTGCTTTATCCACCTCTCCTCAAGTATAATAAGCTGCAAACTTTAAATTGATGTCACACATATTCTGAACAATGAAAACAGAAGAAAGACTAAGGTTGCTTTCTTTCTTTTGTTTTCTCTTTGCCAACGGCTAAGATTGCTTTCTGAAATAGTATGAAATGTAAAATATGATCAAATAATTGACCACGCAAAGTACTACTTTCCCCAATTCAACCAAGACATTTGATCTCTTTCTTTCTTCCATCTCCCTTTCGTCTCCTCTCATTGAGTAACAATAACAAGGTTGCAAATTTCAAATCAAATCATGAAATGCAATTTCAGAAAATCAAAATGGAAAAAAAATGTTATGCGGGTAATCGTATTCCAGAACTACACAGAACTAGGATGTTGTATAAATGAATAATATCATAAATCAAATTAAGTAAATTAAAAAAAAAATAAAGGGCCAAGAAACATGTAAACATGATTAAATTATCCTTTCATTTTATATTCATCCACACATTGTAGAAAAAATATTTAAAAATGAGCACATTAGCTACCGCAGTCGTGTGATGAAGTCAATGGCATATCAAACCAATAAGCAAGCATAAAATATCTTTCATTTACCCAAGGCATCAACTTTGTGGGCTCTTGACCCCAACCCTGATATGAACCTTCATACTTTTGCACCTTCTCTTGTAAGTACTGGACATACTCAATGACCTAAAAAAAAAAAAGTGAAGAAGAAGAAAAGTCAACACGTAATATGACTGTTAAGTCGATTTAACAAGTTTGAGTAGGCGATTGCCATCTCATAACATACCTCTAATAGGAATGATGCAGTATCCCTCTTTTGATCACTATGAGGTATGAGATCTCTTAATATCTGGAATCTGAAGCAAGGGGTTAATTTTCATCAATCTACAGCGTGATGACTCTTTGCAAGAACTGATACCAGAAAATTGCAGTAAACTTCCCAAGAGAAAAATAAATTCCAAGATATGCTACAGAGTGCTTATGTAGTGCCGGTGCAACATATAACTCTGTTGGCCTCCAAGTCCTATATGATAACATTATATGCTTTGCACCTCATAAAACATAGGAAACTCGATTTGATCTCTATGATTTTGTCTTACAATACATTATTAACCTGCTTTGCACCTCATAAAATACAAATTACACAAACTACATGAGAAACTTGTTCTGACCCTTTTTTGTTTTTGTCCTACAATACGTCGTTAACCTTTTGCAATAATTAAATTAACAGCTACTCTGAAAGTGATTAAATGTCCGAACAAAATCAATAAATTTACGCCTGAGATCTGATGTTTTGAGACTGTTGAAGCTTAATTGAGAGGCACAGAAATTTACTTTCAACGACAAACCTATCAATCTCAGCACAAGCATATAACATTTAGATTAATGGACCATCAAGGATATCACTCGTGCCCAAACACTTGTTTGAAAAATAACAGTCTCATTTATGGTGATGAGAAAGTTGAAATCATCACCATAATCAATGACTTGAATATTACACATGGTCCACCAAATTCTTGAGGCCCAAAGAACAATTTTTTGTACATACCTCTCATTTATCTTGCTCCGCCTTCGCTGCTCAGTAACTGAATGTTTCGATCTTATAGCACTAGCTTTATCAATAGCTTTTGTATCTGTTTTAACACCACGCTTCCCAACATAAGAACTCCAACTAATCCAGAGGCGACAGTAAAGAATTGCGCAAGAACTCAGAAATGATACATACATTTATACATAAACAAGTTAATTCCACCCAACTTTTTCCCAGACAAGGTAAGACAGCATAAAAAGTCGACCAAACATTTCTGATTAACAAACCTTGAAGTTCTAAGCCGATGGCTAATTTCAACATCTATGCCAAAACAACGCCAATGATATTCAGCATATTGAAAAACAAATACAATCTGAAGCTAAAAAGGTCAGAGAGGACAGAACTATTTTGCAACAACAATATGCAGATTTTCTGACAGACGCTGATAGACAGAGCCAAAAAAATTTTAGGACTGTCCAGATAAGATTAACACTTGACTGACAGAAATTGCAACGTGGTTTGTAATTACAAGATAACTGGACAGAAAGAAAATTAATTTAAGGGGGGGAAAAAAAGGTAACATGATGAGATAAGCCTACGAACGGAATAAATCGACAAGTAAAATAGGACCTCGTACCAATAAAACAAATACCCAATAACCGGATCTAACGCTCACGTAAAACTAGATGATAAATAACGAAAAGAACTACCTTTGCCGGTGTTATTGCTATTAGGCGTAGACGAAGGACCTTCCTTTTTAGAACCGAACTCCTCCTCCTCGTACTCATCGTCCTCCTGATTCCCTTTCCCTGCCCTCATTCTTCTCTGTACAAGAGGACGCAATTTCCTCGCTCAAATGTTGAGAAGATTAGCTTCCGAATCTAACGATCAGCCCAAAAGATTAAAAGGCAAAATTCAGAGCCCCAGAAGTGCTCAGATGCTGACCCCAGAAGAAAAAATTGAAGAAAGCAAAAGCTCAACCTGGACTAATTGATCAATTGATTAAAGATTCGAAGAGTTTCTAGTTGTTCGGCGCTGCGGCCACCGCGAGGAGGGGTTGCTATAGTGTTGAAGTGCGAGGCTCAACGGTTGGGAGCATGGCCTGAAAGGCACGAGTCACAGGGACTCATTCGACGGAGTGACGGGATGGGCTGGGGGTGGGGACTGGAGAGAGAGGGGGAATAGCATGTGGGTTGCCTCATGTGTCTCTCGTGAGGGCAATTATTCACGCATAATCAATAGGCTTGTAGGCTTTTCATTTTTTTCAAATAAAATTTGTTACTTTTTTTTTTTTTGCCCACACTTATTAAATTAACAATAAAAATAAGAGAAACGTCCTGAAAAATTGCTTGTGACAAAATTTTTTGCCTAATGTAGTTATAAGATTCTAGGTTTCTTTTTTAGTGCTTTTATTTTGCCTTCCGTGGGTGGTGTTTGTACTTATTTCTTTGGGTTGTTAATAAAATTGACCTTGTTTGGCAAAAAAAATTAATATATTTTTTAGTTTCTCAAGTTTGTTATCGTTTTACTTTTAGTCTTTTAAGTTTTAAATCATAGATTTTGATTTTTTTTTAAAAAAAATAGTTTGAATTTTTATTAAATTATAAGAACTAATATTTTAAATAAAAAGAAACTTAGTAGACCAAAAGTTATAGTTTAAAAGTTAAAGGACTAAACCTAAAATAAAAACAAACTTAAAAGGCTAAAGATTATATTAACCCAAAATATCTTAAGGACAATCTTTTTTAATTTGTGCAAATTTCTTTCCTTTACATATATAAAAAAAAAGAAAGGAAAAAGTATACTAGTTGAAAATAGGTTTATGAATTTTTAAACAAATTTTAAGTATTGTGGTAAATTTTTCCCCAATTTTCCTAAAAGTAATAATTAAAATTTCTGTTGACCTTCCGCAATAATTAAAATTTTAAAACTTATCAAACATAAAACAAAAGGAGCGCTGAACATTGACATGGGGCGGGGGAATGAGTCATGCCGCTCATAGTTTATAAATAATCGGCCTTTTTTTTCTTTTCTTTTTTTTATACAAGTTTGTGAGTAATTAATATTTTTATTAAAAATTTAATTAGGAATATATTACAATTAATTTCCTATCATAAAAAAGTAATTATACTTGGTATTAAATAAAGATAACGTTTAAAAAATATAACCATAGCTATTTAATTATAGAGTAAAATACATTGACTACCCTTCTATTTTACTTAAATTACAGAAACCTCCCTTCTATTTTGAAAATGTATATGAATTTTTCTTCGAATTAAAATATATGTTACACAAACCTCCTTTGTATTTTTAAGATTTAATTTATATCTATCTAACCATTAGTTGACCGTTAAGTTTGAGTTTTAAATTTTTATTTTGACCAAAATATCCCTCTTTAATATAAATGTTATTTAAACATCTATATCTATAAAAAATAATTTTGATACAACAAAAAATAATTATAATACATGTATTTTCCAAATTTTTAATTTCAATTATATTATAGAATTATATAATTTTAGTTTCTCAAGAAACATTGAAACTTAATATTTTTTAAATGGCTAGAAAAAATTTTGAATGCTTATTTTCTTATCACATAATATATATTGCGAGTTTGAAAACTTATATAAATTATTTAAATTTACGTTTACATTAACTAAATAACTTAATTTTTTGTAGGGGTGTTCATAGGCAGGACTGGGCAGGCCATGCCCCCTGCCCGATGCCCTGCCCGAAAGATGAGCGGACTGCATTTTGTAGCCCATTGCCCTGCCCTGCCCATAGAAGCCCTAACCATTTTCGGGTTGGATAATAACGGGTTGGGCAGGGCGGGCTTCCAAGCCCAAATAATGATACCCTGGTGAAAAATTTTTTAGTTGAAGTAAGGGTATCTTATAACAACTATAAAGAAATAAATACTTGAATAAACAATAAATTCAACAAATCAATAACTTTGATTTGTGTTAAATAGATATATCTTTTAATACAACACTAAAGTGAGTTTGTTTTTGCATCTTTGCAAGACAACCAACAATGAAAAAAAAACTAAAAGATACTAAACCAAATTAGAAAAACATTAAAAAGATACTAAGAAGGAAGAATTACACATACTACTAAATGTATCTAGGGCAAATGGAAGAGGGGAAAATAATATATATTATTATATATATTATATATCATTATAAGTATTTCTTGCAAAAAAAAAGAATTATAAATATATATCACAGGCAGGGCAGCATATCTTGCCCGCAGCCCAGCCCTACCCATAATATGCCCAGTCCAAAAATGCCCATTTTTCTTTGGGCTTTTTTTTTTGGGCTAGCGGGCTTGATGAACACCCCTAATTTTTTGGCCCAATACGATAAAAACATTAAACAAACAAAAATTTTCAAAAATGAAAAAATAAAATTAAGGTAAAGGAAAAAATCTTAAATCCTTCAATATAGTTTGAACCAAGATTTTGAGATTTAATATTATGAAGGGTAATTTAGCAAATAGAACGTATTTCAATATAAATTTAAATTTAAAAAAATCTTTTTGAAATATTCTAAACGAAGTTAACAGGTTGGATTTAAGTGTATGTTTTCAAAATCAAGGAGACGTATATGTAATTAAGACAAAATGCAAGGGAGGTTATAGTATTTTACTCCTAATTATAATAGTTGTGTTTTAAATAAAAATCCACTTACATTTTTTAACTAGAAAAATGCCTTACATTTGAACCAAAGGGAATTGGTTATTCTTCATATAAAAACTTAATTAAATAATTTGGATAAATTTAAAAAATTAAATAAAGCACTTACTTGCAATAAATGTTATCTAATCTTTCTTAACTATTTATATTACGTTAGATTTTTATAAATATATGTATAAAAATTTATAAGGTGAGCTAATAGGATTGAGGGAAAAAAAGATAAATATAAAAGATAAAATAAATTAATATCTTACTACCTCTGGTTTTTAATATTAGAGTTGGTTGACCAAGTTGAGTCGAATAAAAAAATTAGTTAAGTTAATTATTTATAATACAAAGTGTTGTCCTCTCTAAAATATCTTTGCTAATCAACTTTATTAGCTAAAACTACAATTTGATGTAACATTTAATATGTGTAACTATTATAAGAATTATTTTGATAAAAATAAATAAATATAAGAGACAAAATAAATTATGATCTTATATTTAAAATCAAATTAAAAATAAAACTAGTTTTTATCCTAAGAAAGGCAAGTAATATATTCTTTTATTAATTCTTCATTTGTGGATAGAGGGTTCTTGCCAGCCCCATTTTCGATTACACCAGTGATAAAGGGCTATCAATCGTGAAAAAACAAGACACTGCCTCTAATTTATGACAGATTAACCAAATTTGACTTTATGAGGCATCCAGAAATGTTTCATGGCGGCGAGCCGCCACCCCACCACACGGCGCCGCAGCCTTACTCATGATGGCGTCTTCAGTCAAAAAACCTGACTGAAAATAGTTTGGGAATGATGGACCAAAATGACAAGCTCTTCTTCTTCATCGTCTTATAACCCGTCGATCTTGCTCTGTGAAATTGGAAACTTTGGATAAGCTATTAATTAATTAAGCTCTCGGCGACCGGTTCACCTTGATTTGTTTGTGACTTTGGTTCATCAACTAACTACCTGTACGCATGTGTGTGTGTGTGTGTGTGTGAGAGAGCATATACAAAATTTTGATGGATATTTCTTTTTCGTTCAAACTATTTCTTCAACTTTGACTCTATTCAGTCAAAGTACTGAATTTCTGGGAATCTGCATGCGTTTTAGTTCCTGGATTACTCCTGAGGCTACTGTTCTGGGTGTGAAGCCGAACTGCCATGAAGATGAATAAGCTAAGCGGGAGCACGATGACTGGCTAGCCAATAAGAAGCAGCCACATCAAGATTCGACCTCCAGCTTTTGAATTAGTTTGATATTTAAAATAATAATCCTAAATATAAAACTCCAATTTATTTTATTTTTTATATCTGTTTATTTTTTTTAAAGTAATTCATATACTAATTACACATGTTAAAAGTTTCATCGAATTGTAGTTCTAGCTAACACACTTAATTAATAAAGATATTTTAAGGAAAACAACACACTCATTTATTATAAATAACTAACCTAACTAAAAAAATGGTAGTATAATTATTATATATTGCTTTGACCTATTTATTTTATATATTCTTGCATTTGATGTTTTTGCCACGTTTCTTATATGCCTCATTAGTCATTATTAGTCATTAAATTAATTAATCCAAACACCATGGTCAAAAAGAGTGATCCAAGCACATTCATTTAATTTGGACCATGATCTAATTGCATGCTTTATCAGCTTGGAAAATTATTTGTCGTCCCATAATCAAGCTATTATTTAACACGTGGTATATAACTTGAGATAAGAACAAGAAAGTGGAGGAACACTATTTCTGAGGCAAAAGGATCCTGTGGGAAAAAGGTGGTAGGCGAGCCTCCCTTTGGGTGTTTGGAAACCTACCTCAAAAGTATTTTTATGTCTTAGGATATAAAACTTTCATCACGTATTTAACTGTACAATGCAGAATTACTTAAAATAAGCTAACAAATGAAATTATCCAATTATTTTCTGAAGTTTATTAAACTTATAGCTCAATAAACCTAAGCATGGAGCCACGCCGAAATGTGATAGTATATCAAAGCGGGCTAAGCCATTAACATGTTATTTGTTCAACCTAATATATACTAACTCCAATCTTAATTATAAAACATTATTTATAATCTATAAATAAAGTCTTATAATTAGAATCGAAAATAGTATATATACACACACATATATATAACAAATTTTATCCCACGACATGAGATCAGTTATATAGTTACATAGATCTCATGATGTGTCACTCTCTCAAATCCTTAGAAAAATCATTAAAATAGTATATGGTATGAGAGATTGCTTGTCACGTGGGATTAGTCAAACCCATATATGTGAAATTGAGGAATACCATCTCTCCTCATGATATTATATAATCCTACATCTATAGGTTTGATTAATCCCATATAATAAGTAATCTCTCATTCAGAATCCCTGTCCTTAATTTTTAATACTTCTTATCAAATGAAACTATACTGTCTAAGATATATCAAGTCCAATATAATAGCCTTCTTTGTAGTTTATACAAGTTTAAATCATCATAAACAATTTTTTATAATTTTCTCTTCAATATGTGCCATGACAGCTCTTTCTTAAATATTTTCACTACAAGTCTTATCTTTTCTTGCATAACAATAACACATCTATCTCAACATTTTGGTCCCATTTACCCCCAACTTGACACTATTATTTAGTTAAAGCCCAATATTTACTACCATGGAGCTAGTATTGCTAGTCTCATAACAGATCAATGAAATTTCATTTTATTTTATTAAATAATTTCTTATTATAAATAACTCTGATAATTGTTTTCCATTCAAGCCACACAGCTTGAATTCTGTAAGTACCATCTCTGTTAATTTCACTATCTTTTGTATAATTGATTGATTCCAAATATTTGAACTTTGTCATTTGTGGAACAATTTAATCCCCTATTTTAATCTTCAAGTTAATTCTGGCTTGCCTCTTATTTTGTACTACCTCTGGTTCTATTTATAAGACTTTGTTTATAGTTTACAAATGAGGTTTATAATTAGAACAGGAGGTAGCAGTACATATATGATATCTTACTTCTTTTTTCCTCTTTTATTCGGCCAATGGATATTCTACCCTACTTCTACTCATATGAAAAACCTTGAACTCTGGGTCTTTTTAATAACTTAAGTTTAAAGTTAATTAACTTAAGTTTAGAGTTAATATAATCTCTCAAATGACTAGTCACCATATCATCATTAAAAAGCCTGCATTTATATAAGTTAAAACATCTAAAACCAAGTTAAGCAAATAAGAGCTAAGATATGATTCATGATTGCCCAAAGCAATTGTACTCTTAACTCCATACATGATCATGCAAAAGGTCCTGATATTTTAGGGGAGAGACCCAACGAGCAATCTTGCAAAACTGTTTCCAGGAGTTAAGCGATGAGAATATATAACCCATGGACTCACCAAGTCTGCACCATCAGAGTTGTAATAAATTAACTTTATGATTCCGTTAGTATTGAGACTTTTTGATATTCCATTCCTTTTATTTTTATAATTCTAAATTGATTCCTTAAATTAATACTCCTCCGATCCTTAATATAAGACCCATTTAACTAATTTGATTAGATTAAAGAAGTTAGGTAAGTTAGTTAATTATAAGAAATATGACACGTCTTTCATAAAACAGCATAATTATCTTTCTTAATACCCCATCCCCTCTTCTATTTGATTATAGCTGGGGGAGTATCTATAGGAGTAATTTAGATAAAATTGATAAATATGATAAATGGGTCTTATATTTAGGACCAAAACCAACATAATAATTAAGTCCTATATTAAGGACCGGATGAGTAGTATGTAATAAAGATAGTGTATAACTACTCTAGTTATATAACAGAGCACCTGATTAACGAGGATCCACTTGTGGGGTGACCGGGCTACTACCTATTAGCTAGTTGACTTCAATATATTATTTGCCATTTTCATGGTTACCCAGATCAGTCAGCAGCGGAAACACTGAGGAAAGCAATAAAAAGTAAAGCAGATTCCCAGAAAATAACAATTGGTTTGACTGAAGAGAGTCAACAAAGCAACATCGAACGTTCTTCAAAAGTTTAATTAGTTTCAATGAAAATATTATTAAGAAACTTGATCAACACGGTTTTAACTTATACATCAAGAAAAAAAATGCACACGCACACATATATATAAAAGATAGTTGACGAATCCCAAGTCGCAGATAAATCGATCTGAATCAGCAGTAATGGAGAGCTTTTTAATTGATAGTTGGCTCTGGCTCTGTTTGGGTCAGCGTTTGCTGACCCAAAAGCAGCTTATATTATAATTTAAGCTAGGTTGATCATACAGGTCTGTTTGGGAGAGCTTAAAACCTATTGAGTTTATTTATTTTTCAGCCTCCTAAACGCTCAATGAAAATAAGCTCCACACAGAAGCTTATTTGAGAAGAGCTTTTACCAAATGTGCATGTCAGGAGCTTACCAAATGTGCGTGTCAGGTCCTTTCTTTTTCACCTACAAGTCCTCCTTTCTTTTCCCAGACTCAAGTCCCACCCGCAAGTCCCACCAGCTTTCCTTTTTTTTTTTTTTATCATGTTTTATTTTATACTCAAAATATTTTTTATGGTTTCTCTCAATTTTAATTCAGTCATTAAATTTCACTTCTTTATTATATTATCTCAATTCTTTTTTTATGTTTCAATTTATATTTAAAATATTTTTTATGATTTCTTTAAAATTTTAAAATTTAATTCACTCATTAAATTTGATTTCTTTATATTAAATTATTTTAATTTCATTATATTATATGAAATCAATTTTTTTTATGTTTCATTATTTATTAAAACTCATACCCATTTTGGTAATTTTTCAGCCAAACTTATTTTTACTTAACTATAATCCAAACAAACTTTTACCAATCTGACTTTTGCAAACTAACTTTTCTGAACTCCAATCCAAACACAATTCAGCATATCCAATTTAACTTTTACCAACTTTACTTTTTCATAAGCTACTTTTCTTATAAGTTGCTTCTCCAATCACTGATCCAAACGGGCACAGTATTTCACAAAGTCCTGGGCTAAATGGGCTACAAGGTGGAGAAGAAAAGCTTGTCTTTGTCGGCCATGTTTTATGGGTTATTTTCTGTTAGGCCCTCAGTGGGTGGAAACGATGAGCAGACGAGCAAAGGCGAAGCAGCGCCTGGTAGTGCGGCGGAGGCCACCATGGTCGCCGCCATGAAGCATTTCTCTTCAACTACACGCAAAGTAAGGTTCGGGTAATTCAAGAAGACAAACCAAACCGTGGTTTGGAAAAGTGATTCTAGAGAATAGATTTTGGGAAGAATAAATTATGTAAAGAATAGATTTTATAAAAAAGTGATTTTGAGAAGTGAGAGTGTTTGGATAGTTTTTATCAGAAGCACTTTTTATATATACAAATTATTAAAAAAAAGACCTAAGTTAATATGATAATTACAGAAAAAATAGATTTTATGATATATTTTAATTTGAAGGAATGAAATTGTTAATAATAAATTTTTTATTAACATAATTAATAATACATAATATAATATAATTAATAAATAATTAATATGTATATATTTATAAAATATAAGATTAAATATGCTTATAAAAAAATATGTTTATAAAAAAATAACAAGATACATATCCTATAGGCTCTCACACTCTCCATTTTTTCTCCAAAAGCAAAAATTTTTTGCTTTTTCCAAAACCATAGTTTTGGAGCCAAAACCATGGTTTTGGTTTTTGAGTGGGTATTTGGGTGATTTATTCCCCAAATCATGGTTTAGGTCTCCAAACTATGGTTTGGGGTGTCACCCAAACACAGCCGTAGAGTTACAAGACAGCTGTAGGTTTGGCCTGGCCTGATGAGACCGCCATAGTTAATTGCTGCAATCATAGACCGCCTGATGAGGTAGACCGTGAGCCTTGTAAAATAGTTGGACTTATAGATTTCCAGATGAGATAAGATAGGGTTTTTGTTCTCTCGTATCCTGGGCTTCGTTTAACAGTATTAGTTATTTGTAAAAAAATTTGCGCGTACATGAGTTTTTTTAAAAAAATGTGTTTTTTAATTATTTACATTGAATGCTACTCATTTAATTTAAAAACCCCTTAATATAATAGTCTCTTTTTCATTAGTTGAATTCTATAATATTCAAGCAACTAATTAAATCATGAAATTATACACATATTTAAAATACTAAAAATAATCATTTATCCGCACACCAATTGAGAAATTTAAAAACACAGAATGAAAAAAAAAATACTGATAACATTATTTTCTAATCCCTGAACATAATAAAAAAATGACAAAAAATTAAAGAGATTGAGAAAAGAGATTAATTCAGCCCCAGTACTTTAAAACTTACTAGCTCCGATCCTTAATATAAAAACTAGTTGACTAATTTGAGGAGATTAAGTAAATTAGTTGAGTTAGTTATTTGTTATAAATAGGTGTTATCTTTCTTAGAATACCTTTGTTAATCAATAATCATGTATATTAGTTAAAATTATCATTTGATGAAACCTTTAACAAGTGTAACTATTATAAAGATTATTTTCAAAAATAAATATAAAAGACAGAATGGATTGAAATTTTATATTTAGAACCAAATTAAAAATCAAATAAGCTCTTATGATAAGGAACAGAAGTGGCATTACCCTAATAGCGGAGAGTTGCTGGTAAATTTTATTCTTATTATGAATTAATAAAAATATTATGATTTTTTTAGCTGAAAAAAATATTATGAATTTAATCAGATAAATTTCAAAAGCATGTCATTGTTTTTGTCCTTTATCCAAAAGTATAAAAGAGCAGACGGCTTCTAGAGAATTCTCAACGGCCTTCATACGCTGCCGTTTTGTGCATCACGTCCAGACTCATCCACAGTAACCTTAACGGTAACGACCGGGTTTTTCTAATCCTGCCATCGTCTTCCTCCCCATGAACATCCAAGGGCCGTACCTATCATCTGCCGGCGGCGAGCTCAGAATATCGGACGGCATTGACGCCTGGTACACTTGTCCTTCACTTGTTTTATTTCTTTTATCTGTCTGTTGAGCCTGCTTCATGGAATCCATGTTCGCTTGTGTTGTTCTCTTCACTTATTTTATTTCTTTTATCTGTCTGTTGAGCCTGCTTCATGGAATCCATGTTCGCTTGTGTTGTTCTCTGATTTTTTTGTTGCGTGTTCGTGGATACCAGAAGAATGTACTTGTTGGTTTTGAGATTGTTATTGGTTCGGATTCTTATGGAAGCTCTCTGTTTTGTCTAAATTAACCGCAGAAAAAGAAAATCGGATTAAGCCCCTCATATACAGAATCCAAGAATTCATCTGGCACTTATTCCTCCTGCAGATCAACTTCAACGCAGATTCTAGCATAGCTACCTCGATTTTAGTATCAATCTCTCTAACATAAGTAAGACTATGGAGGTCAACCATAATTGTCTCCGCAACTAAATCCGTGCTTTCTCTGGGCACTCCTTATTATAACAATGCATTGTTAGATTATGAATTGTTATCCATATTGCCATTTTTCCCGGTTTGTTGGTTAAAGGATTGAACTCAGGAGGCCAACGTTGAATGGCTAATGTGATGCTGCAAGATGTCCCAGGGCCCTTCATTTTATGAGCTTGGGAACCTCGCGACATACTAATTGTTTTCAAGGTCTGTTAACACAAAGTCAGGACCATTCCCCATAGAGGAGAGCCAACCTTTAAGTAACGATAGTTTAATTTGATTCCTAAGATGGTATAGTAAATACAATAGATTCCCTCCCTGTCTTACAACAACTTTTACAATCTTCATGTGATATTTTAAGAGAAGGATAAAGAGCTTCATCAGTTTCCTAGTTTCCTCTTTGATTGCCACTTATGATTGTTGTTACTTTTGTCGGATGACTCTGTATTTCACTCTTTTACTTGACTCCTGTTAATGACTGAAAGTTGATCACTATAAGAATTATGTTGATATTTCTCTGCATCATCTTGCTTCTTAGGAGAAGCAGGAGCAAACAAATTCTTCCTGTTTCTCCTCAGAAACGAGAGTTTCTTCTACAACTTCATCATTCTCACATATGTATTTGAACCATCCGCTTCATATTTGAGCCAATTATATTGTCTCCTTTTGTAAGAACCTGATCTTTCTGTTTCATATCTCAAAGTTTCGTCCATTAATCCTCTGGTATTCTTTTATCAAACATGTTCATAGATATCTTAGGTGAATCTCATAACCAACTCATAGAAAGTGCTAATGCTCGTCATAATTACAAACTACTTCTATAATTTGTCTTTTCTATCGATGATGATCCATATTTGTTTCGGTCATCTTTTATCTGATTTGGTCTTTATTCACAACAACTATTAATTTTCTGAAAACCATTTTATGCAGATTACCAATGGGAAAGAATGAGTTTCTTACACCAAAGGCTATTGCTAATCGAATCAAAGCAAAAGGGTTGCAAAAGCTTCGATGGTACTGTCAGATGTGTCAGAAACAATGCCGAGATGAGAATGGGTTCAAGTGTCATTGCATGAGTGAAAGTCACCAGCGCCAAATGCAAATCTTTGGACAAAATCCAAATAGGATCATTGAGGGCTACTCTGAAGAGTTTGAGAAGTCTTTTCTAGAACACATGAGGCGGAGCCACCGGTTCAGCCGGATAGCAGCTACAGTAGTTTACAATGAATACATTAGTGATAGACATCATGTTCATATGAATTCCACTAAATGGCTTACGCTAACTGAATTTGTCAAGTATTTGGGTCGGACTGGCAAGTGTAAGGTTGAAGAAACACCCAAAGGTTGGTTTATAACATACATTGATAGAGATTCTGAGACACTTTTCAAAGAGAGGATGAAGAACAAGAGGTTAAAGTCTGACATGGCTGAAGAAGAGAAGCAAGAGAAGGAGATACAGAGACAAATAGAAAAAGCAGAGCAGTTGATGAAGCAGCCATCTACCATTGGATCCGATCAACCTTCACAGGCTGAGCTTCCAAGAGAATTAAAAGTGGAAAATGGGGCTAAGGTTGGGTTTTCTCTTGGTTCATCAGCAAAACTTTCAACCGAGGAAAAACCAGAGGGACCAAATATAGTGTTCGACGAAGTTGAGGATGCCAAGAAGGAAGCAAGGAACCCCGTTGGCTCTTTGAAGAGTAAAGAGAGTGGTGGTGGGAAATCGACATTGGATGAACTGATGCGAGAAGAAGAGAAGAAGAAGGAGAAGATTAATAGAAAGGATTACTGGTTGTATCAGGGAATTGTTGTTAAGGTCATGAGCAAAGCTTTGGCTGATAAAGGGTATTACAAGCAAAAAGGTGTTGTATTAAAAGTGATCGACAAGTATGTTGGGGAAATAGAGATGGTTGAAAGCAAACATGTGCTCAGAGTTGATCAGGCTGAGCTTGAAACTGTGATTCCTCAAATTGGTTGTCTTGTCAAGATAGTAAATGGAGCTTATAGAGGATCCATAGCAAGATTATTAGGGGTTGATACCGATCACTTTTGTGCCAAGGTGCAGATAGAGAAAGGTCGTTATGATGGGAGAGTCCTCAAGGCAGTGGAGTACGAAGATATTTGCAAATTGGCCCAGTGAGTTTAACAGCAAAGGATAAGTATGTGTGTCATCTTGTAATGAAACATGTACTTTGCATGAACATTTTTGGTAATTTTTTCACTCTGACGAGTATTTCATTGCCCTATTCATTTCTTGCTTTGTTGATCTTAACAAGATTTGAAAACTGCTTTCTTGATTCTTCTCAATTAAGTGATAAGTGACAACTGAAGAATGCTTTGCGAGACAGAAAACGAAGAAAAGAAAACAGTCCATTTCGACATGCAATATTCTACGCTACATTTACTCTCTTCTCGGCACATTCTTGCAGAGGAAAACTGATCGCAACCATAGTAGTGATGAGAGTAACGTAAATAAGGTTGGGGTTAATATGTAAATTTGTTTTAAAAGTTTGTTAAAACAATGACGTTGATTATTAGTATTTTAACAATAAATGGGTAATGTTATTACGATTTTAAGCTTTCAGGATAAATTTACACCTTAATCTACATGGTTAAGTCAGCTATTTATTAAAACTCCAGATTTTACGTATTTTAATTGACATTTGACATCATAAAGTAACTCTTCATATTATTCCGAGGTGACCTCATGTAACTCATAAATTTTTCTTACATTAATGTCAAGAAAAACAACATTCATCTGTAGATGCATATATATCATATTCAATTATTTGTAAATAACAAACACTACTCTTCCAGTCCTAAATATAACACTTATTTTATAATGTAAATTTTATACTACAAAGTGAGTCTTACATTTAGGTTTAGAATTGGAAGTATCACACTGATTGAACTAGACTGTACAATGATTCCATATAACTTCCAAATATGCTCATGACTGGTTGAATCTTGAGACCTATTTTGGCTTCGGCTTTAACTGGTCCCAGGACCCTCTTCCCTAAACTAAGGATTCCCTTCGTGGATTAGCCCAAGTTTACTTTGTGAGGCAGAGAGAAATGCTTCATGGCGGCGACCATGGTGGTTTCTGTCGCAACAACCGGTGCTGCTACAGTCTTACTCGTCTTTGGGGTTCCACAGAGGAAACTGACTCCAAATAATCTATGAATCATTGACCAAAATGACAAGCTTTTCTTCTTCTTCGCCTTATAACCCATCGATCTTACTTTGTGGATTCTGTGAAATTGCAGAACTTGATAAAGCTCTTAACTAAACTCTCAGCTTCTTGTTCAGATTGAGTTCTCTGCTGATTTTGGTTCAAGAGCTATCCTTTATTTATAGATCAAGTTCTGATATATTTCTTGCTGAAAAAGCAAACTAAAACCGTGGTCATAAAGTTTCATGTCGTTCAAAGTAATAAAGCTTCCGAAAAATATTGCTTTTGACTCTTTTCAGTCAAAGTAATTGAATTGAATTTCTGGGAATCTGCTTACATTTTGGTTCCTCCATGTTCCCATGTGGTGGGTGTGGCGAAACTGCCATTGAAATGACAAATAGAAGGGGACGTCTCTGTGAGGCTAATCTAATATTGAAAGCATGACTAGCCGGCCAATAAGGGTTAGCCACACTAATACCTGTCAAACTCAGATAGTCCGCTCACATCCACGACGTTATGGAGGATAGTTACGTTCCAAAGAAAAAAAATACAAAATAAGCCTAAAACATTATCATTTTTTATTAGAAAAATTTGTCATTATATATTACTTAAGTTATTATTAAGACTTTTTAATAATTATTTTTTTAAAAAAATTCATTATAATTCTCCCATGTTATTAATCCAAGGCTCATGTTCAAATGAGGTGATATTCACCGGAATTGGAAAAAAAATTTAATTTTATTAATTTTGTCTTAAAATTTAATAACTTTTTAATTTTATCTGCATTTAATATATGCTTTATATTTTAAGGTCTTATTTTCATCAATAATAAATTTATAACACTGCTTTTTCGCTTTGTTTTTGGGTGAAATAAACTGCTTTTTCGCTGTACGAATAGAAACAGAAGAGTACGTGGATTTGTTTTTGTGTGAGAAAGTTGCGAGCCAAAAAAAAAAAGCATAATCAATATTTTAGGGTCTATTTTTCAAAATAAAAGTCCATATCTTCCAATAATCCTAAACGAGTCAGTACGCACAAAAAATATGGAGGTTTATGAGGAACAATAGAAGCCTAAACCTTAGTTTCATTATAAAGCGTCGTTCATCAAGCGGAGTAATTAAATTTAAAAATTATATTGGAGGTCCTTAAGAGTAATATTTGACTTCCTAAATTAGTCCCAAATTAAAATTCTCCCGAAATTTGTTTTGGAGACTGATTATTAAACGCGGCCTACCCAAGTTTGCCCCTTCTTCTTCCTCATATGTTTTCTTGTTCAAGTTTTAATTGGCTATAGAAATAATTTAGAATAAAATAATAAAACATAATTGACCACCTTTTTCATTCAATGGAAGGATTAATTTCCTAAAAAATTGTATGCTCAATGTGCCACCAGCACTTTTTACATTAGTCGAAAAAGAAATTTTATGTTGATTTTTGGATAAACATTAAAAAAAATGATGTCATAGTAAATAAGCTTATCCGGGTTGTAGTAAATCGTTAAGAAAAAAGGTGTGCCCAAAAAATGGCAAAAGAATTTTAAAGTGGTAATTGTTGAATAATGACACATATAGACACACAATAATTGAAATGAGTGGCTTCTTGCCAACCCCATATTCGATTTTATTAGCTCATAATGTGGATAAGACTGGAAGATGGTTCCTCTCTAATCATGGGTAATTATCTTATGAGGAAGGAAATCATCAATTTTTTTACTAAAAAACCCAAAAACAATTACTTCCTCCTCCGATTGTTAATATAAGACTTAGTTAATTAATTAGAGAGATTAAAAATGCTAAATAAATTATTTAATTATATAATATGTTACACAATTTCTATGAAATACTTTTGTGTATTATTATATTATATCTCACTTTGCTAATAAGATAGAGTTAGTTCAGTTGGTAAGGAGTCAGACTCATAACTTACAAGGTTATATATCATTTTATGAGTCAGACAAATTAATTAAGAAAAAAACAATAAATATATAAACAACAAGTTGTAATGCTTTTTTTTTTTTATTTTGTAGAGTTTTGAAAATGTTACATATGCATATATTACAAAAGCATGAAGACCAAGGTGTAGCATTTTGAAAAACGCTATAAGATATGTATTTTTTTTTAAAAAAAAATTCATAATATTCTATAATGCTTCTTGAAGAAAACGCTACAGAAAAATAGACATTCTATACATGTCTATATTTTTTAAAAAAACTATTGTAGCGCTTTCTTGAGAAATCGCTATGAAACTTTTTTTTTTTGGAAAAAATATTTTTTTATTTATAATGTTTTAAAACTAAATTTACAACAATCTTACTTACAAACTTTTATTGTCGCCCATAAAAATTTAAACAATATCACAATTAACTTACTATAAACACACAAACTTCTCTATTTATTATATAATTACAATAATTTTAGTGAAATCAATTTATTTCAATTCTATAATAAATACTCTTCCGGTACTTAATATAGTACCTAATTCTTGAATTAGTTTTAGTCTTAAATATAAGACTCATTTATCATATTTATCAATTTTTTCTAAATTACCCCTATAGATACTCCCTCAACCATAATCAAGTAGAAGAAGAAGATGGGTATTAAGAAAGAAGATTATGATATTTTAGAAAAAATGTGTCACTTTTCTTATAACTAACTAACTTATCTAAGTTTTTTAATCTAATCAAATTAATTAAATAGGTCTTATATTAAGGATCGAAAGAGTAACAACTACAACATGATTACAGCTATCACTATTAAATTAAACCATATACAACTTATTAGAACTATACTCTTATTAACTTTTTAAGTATAGCTAAAATACAGACAAAAAACTAAATGAAGTAGCCTACATAAGTGGTGGCAAGGAAAATAAAGAAATCTTATAAATATAAAATTACGGATAAAAACATACTATACTTGAATTATATATGCTTAATGTATCCAAACTTCAGAAGATCTAAAAAAAACAGAAATCAAGTTAGATCTAAAAGTTAAAGATAAAAAGAGCTACCGTCTCTGTCTCAAAAGTGCAAAAGTAAAGTTAGAGATCTTTGCTAATCTGTTTTTGTTAGGCATCTTAGGAATGAAAAAAAAGAAGAAGAAGAAGAAGAAAAGTTATAGCTCTCTTCCTTGCTTGCTTCTCATGAACATGTTTTGAAGAAAAGAATCAAAAGATCGATGATGATTGATTTTGATCGGATAAGAGAAGAGAAGTGTCAAAAAGACAATAAGAGGGATAAAAGATGAGAGAACCGGTCATGGGGAGAGTGAAAAAAAATGTGAAATATAAATAAAGGCATATAAAGCTTCTGGTAAGAATGAAATGGGATTTTTTTAAAAAAATAATGAGGAAGCACTACAAGTATAAATTTTTTATAGATATATATACACACACTTTTGTAGCGTTTTCTTAAAAAACACTGTAAGAAGTATTATATATTTTATAGCACTTTCTCAAAAAAGTGCCACAATAATTTGATATTTTAAAAAATGAAAATTATATGGTGCACTACTTATTTATATTTTATAGTAGTAAAATACTTTAAAGTAATTTACTTAATTTCTTAATCTCTCTAAATTGGTCAAGTCTTATACAGAGGTAGTATCAATTTTGTTTTATACTACTTCCAGTCCTTAATATAAGAGTCATTTGATTAATTAAAGTAGATTAATGAAACTAGTTAAGTTAGTTATTTGTAATAAATAAGTATTGTCATTTCTCAAATATCTTTGCTAATTAAGTATATTGGTTAGAATTACTATTATTATAAGGACTACTTTAGAAAAAATGGATAAATATGAGAGACAAAATGGATTAAGGTGTTATATTTAGGATCAAAATAAAAGTCAAATAAACTCCCATATTAAGGATCGAAGATAATATACGAGAACAGAGGGATTGGATTAGATATAATACTGAAACTATATTTATGTTTATCTCTCCCTCTCTTGAGCTGCCGATAATATTTAGCGAAAGGTGATTGACATGTTAACAACCTTAATTAATTATATTACATCAGATTGATTTGTCTGCGATCCTTTTTTTTAGT